ACCGTCGCCGCCATCACCACCATACCACCGCCACCACCACCACCATACCACCGCAACCACCGCCGCCGCCACCACTACCGTCATACCACCGCCGCCGCCACCACCACCATACCACCGCAACCACCGTCGCCGCCACCACTACCGTCATACCACCGCCGCCGCCACCATCACCATACCACCACCACCGCCACCACCACCACACCACCGCCGCCACCGCCACCACCACCATACCACCGCCACCACCGCCGCCACCACCGCCACCACCACCATACCACCGCAACCACCACCACCACTACCACCACCATACCACCGCAACCACCGTCGCCGCCACCACTACCACCATACCACCGCCGCCGCCACCACCATACCACCGTCGCCGCCACCACCACCACCACCACACCATCGTCATACTACCACCACCATCACACCAACACCACTACCGCCGCCGCCGCAACCATCGTCGTCGCCGCCACGACCATACCACCGCAACCACCGCCACCGCCACCACCACCATACCACCGCCACCACACCACCACCGTCATACCACCACCAATTATTATTATTATTATTATTATTATTATTATTATTATTATTATTATTATTATTATTATTATATAACGAATAACACCACTACCACTACACCACCACCACCACCATAATATTTTTGATATATTATTAGTTTTTTTTTTTGTTGAAAAACTTAGCTATTTTTTATTATATTTAAAATTAATATTATATTATATTATTATATATTATTATACATGTTGTAATATTCTAAATAAAATAATTAAAATGTTTAATTATACAATTCTACTCATTTTCCAGAAAATGAACCAAACACACAAAAACAATTTTCCAGAATGCAACCAAACACCGGAAATGAAAATGTTTTCCGGAAAATGACTCATTTTCCAGAAAACATTTTCCAGAAGTCATTTTCCTGGTTTCCAAACGGACCCTTAGTTGATTGAGTTAGTGAGTTTGACTAATTGATAATATTAGCTAATTGTAGAAAGATGTTTGATAAATTAGTTGTTAGCTAATAGTTAATTACATACAAAATGACTTTCTCAAACAACTCATAAAAAAAATGTTTTGAGTAACTTTTTTTAATTTTAGTGTTTTAGAGACTGTTACAAAAAAGCTAATTAATCAAACACTCATATTGGTTGTTTAATCAAATCAAACAACTAACAGTGATTTAAAATTGGATGATAGGCTAATTATATTATCAAAGAGGGCCTATGCGAAATGTGCTCACTTCACATGGTGGGGATAATACATTGTGTATATTTTGCTGAAGACGGGCCCTGAGCTCCTAGGTCGAGAAGCTGAGATGGAGAAATGATAACAAACTAGTCACTCGTATAGACTTGACCTCGAGAATTAACATTTTACACGATCAACTTGAGTCACTAGTGTTATACTATCATATCAAATCTGTCAAATAAGAACCCGACATGTGCTCTATGCTCCATTACTATAAATACAGGCATGTCATTAGTGTTGTACTATGATACATAAGAACCCGTCATATGTTCTATGCTCCAATCTTACATATAATAAAACTATATGGTTGGGAAGTAATTAATTTTACAATTAATTACCAACATTATTATTATTACTAACTATAAATTAAATTAGCCACAACATCTTTTACTATTAAAAAAAAAAAGCACAACATTTAAAAAATAAAATAGCTATTTTTTTTTCTCGCCCATAACAAATGATTACATTTATTGAATTAATGGAGTTATTAAATATTATGATATTAGGATTAAGGATTCCGATTCCCGATTAATAGAAAATATGAAACGATGCAATATTAATTAAATCTCTGGCTTTACAATGAAAGTCTATTTAATATGCTTTTATTATTTATGGTGGTTCTTAGGATTACAATATTAATTAAATTTTTTATGAAAGCCTATTCAATATCTGAAACAGTGCAATTAATGCAAGCCTCTACATATAATTTTTCTCCATCTCAAATGCTTCAAAGAAATGACAGGAGCGAGAAGGGATGAAGAAAGCAAATGTTGCGGACCGTGGGTCAATTATTGGACTTCAGAATTAAAAAAAAAAAAATCATTTAAGCCATAAATAAAAATATAAATATATATCGTATGGGTCTTTAATGTTTTTCTAGATGTCTAAACTTAGGACTTTTAAAAGAAAAAATATATATTTGAATTATCTCCACAAAAAGTGGTCTTGGACTTATAAAATTACATTTGAGTTTATGGAATGCCATGTGCATAAAGAATATATTATATAACCATATAAAAAAATGTATTCAATTAGAGTTTAAATTTACTCATACAAAATTTGAAATTTGCTTTCTAAATGTATTATCTTAGTTATTATTCGTATTATGAAAATTATAATATAGATGAAATACAATTAAGAATAAATTAATGTAATTATGTAAATTCTCTCTATAAGTTTATTTGAATATGTACATAATTAAAGAATAGAGATTATATTAACCATACAAAATTTTAATTATAATTTTATATTCTATAAAAACAATAAATACTTGACCAATGGAAGCTCAAAAATATTATTATAGTAAACAATTTAAAATATTTTTATTTTTTCTATTTTTTATTTATATTTATAATAACATAATTGTTTCCCGTGCATCGTGCGGGTGAATTACTAAGTACTATAAATAGAGGCATCCTCCACCAGTTGGGAATTCAATTTCTTAGACTTATCAAGCATGTAAAGCTGATGGAACTCCTTTGTATATTATACTTGGATTATACTAAGAACCCTTTATTATCAATAGAGTTAATACCCAAAATAGTCCCTCGACTATGTCGTAATTACCAATTTGATCCTCGACTATCATTCTTACCCAATTAAGCCCTCAACTATACAATTTTTACCCAATTTAGTCCTTTGTCAATTTGACTGTTTGTTGACTGTCAAAAGTGGAAATAAAGTTGTAATTTTACAAGTTTTCTCCTTCCTCCTCATTTAGCAGCGCCAAACCATGTAGCAATAAGCTCCGGTTGAGTTCTAAACCTGTCAGTATCGAAGTAGTGGTTATGCATCGGATAGCCCATGTATTTGATTTCCAACGATTTTTTGACGATCGAAATCTGATCGGAGTGTATTGCTGCATGGTTTGGCGCTGCTAAATGGAGAGGAAGGAGAAATCTTGTAAAATTATAATTTTATCCCGACTTTTGACAGTCAACAAACAGTCAAATTAATACAGAGGACTAAATTGGGTAAGAATTGTATAGTTGAGGACTAAATTGGGTAAGAATTGTATAGTTGAGGACTTAATTGGGTAAAAGTTACATAGTTGAGGACTTAATTGGGTAAGAATGGTAGTTGAGGACCAAATTGGTAATTATGGCATAATTGAGGGACCATTTTGGGTATTAACTCTTATCAATATAACACTTTTTACTTTACTACTTTACATCTTTCTATTGTATTCTCATCCGTATACACGTAATATATAGGTTCTATACTTATTATTGCTATCATCACACTTACACAATTAGAAAAAAAAAGAAAAGAAAAGAAAAGAAAGTTGTCAAACCACAAATATCTAAAAAGAAGTGTTTAAAGGAAAATATTACATGTACTCCTATTTCTTACTCTCAACTTTTATTCCCTCTCACAAATTCTTGATGTAGACATATTTCCTGAGACCTATATGATGAAAATAACCTATTTTTGTTTACTATATTATGGAGTACAAGTAATGAAGCAGAATTTGGGAGTACATATAGTAGAACTCGTGTTTAAAATATATAATTGGTCTCCTCCTCTTTAGGAAAAAAATATGTGTAATTGGTATTTGCGCATAATTGACAAACAACTTATGACAAGTATTAAAATTTGTACTCCATGACTATCTCATATTCATTGACTACTTATCCATTGAAAGAAAAGTAATTTTGCAAAATCAATTAAATAATGCATAGTCAATTACATTATTAAGCATGAAAATTAAATATTGGGAACCAATAAATGCATAACTACTCAATTACATAACAAAATAAATGAAGAAAATCACGCTATCTCATTGTAATCAGAAGTAACCATTGAATCAATACTATACATAGTCTCATATGTCAGAGACTCGGACGAATCATAGCATAATCATAATTAAAGTGTTGATGTTTGGCAAACCTAGTTAAAAAGGTAGCTGAAAAGTTATAAGCTAGTAGTTAAAAATTAAAGAGATGTTATGCTTAAAAGTGTTTGATAAAATTAGCTTTTTGATAAGCTAATAAATGTAAAAGGACAAAAAATACATATTCATAAAATTTAAATTAGTTTGTTTACATATTAAAATTTAACATTTTGTTTTAAAAAAATTAACATTTTGAAATAAAACTATTCGCATAATCATGATCTAGCATTTCATAATGAAATATCAATATTGTTGCGAATCTCCTCCATCTAATAATAATAATATTTTCCGTGAAAGTTGCGGGATAAATGAGAAGAGAAGAGGATTTTAATTGGAAAGGGTAAATGATATCATTTCTTTAAAATAATGACAAAGATTGAAAAAAATATTTAAGAAGCTAATAGCTTATTTTGAAATATTTTGAAATGCTATCTAAAGTAGCATTTCTAAATAAACTATTATTTTAAATTACGAGCTTATTTTGAAAATATTACCAAACAGAGATTATAACTTATTAGTAGCTTAAAATAAGGTATAAGCTCTCCTAAATTAACTCTATATATCTAATACAGGCCAAACTTACTTAAAACAAAATTCGAGAACTCATAAATCATGATATCGTTATAATTAAAACTAAAGGTCAAATAATAAAATTCGCTTGTAATTATCCATAGAAAACAGGATTTGTAAGAAAATTAGCACTTTTATCATTTTATGGTCGGTAAATTGGTAATAGTTTAATAATAATTATTTAAATTAATGGTTAAACCCAATCCAAATCATTTTGTAAAGAAGAGGAAAATGAAAATGTGCATTTAAATATCGTATAGTTGTGTGGAGACTCCATCATCCAAGAGTCCAAGTCTCTGGATCACAACACTTTATAGAGAGAGAGAGAGAGAGAGAAAGAGAAAGAGAGTGAGATCAAACGCAGTCTCTCTACTGCGCACCTAATTTACAGTGATTAGAGAGAAGAGACAAAGAAAGAGACTCATGGGAGTGTAAAAAACAAAAGCGAAAACCCAAAAAAAAAAATTGTGAAAAGAAAAGAAAAAGCGATTCCTCAGAACAATAAAGGAAAAGCAGTTGAAGTGAATGCTGCTTTTGTTCAGCTGGGTGGTGGAGGTGGTTGTTATGGTGGAAAATCTACTCGCTTTGGTTCGGTGAATCTGAGCTCGCCGGGGGTAAAATCGCCTTTTTATTCTCTCCGACTCCATGCCCGTCTCCGGCGGTTCTTTGGTCGAGGCTGTCGGCGGCGCTATCAGTAAGCTCGGAGGAGGTATCATCGGTTTCGGCGGCGCGTCTGGCGGCTTCTGGAAGAAGACGGGAGTTCCCGATGCTACTGTAGCTGTCGCCGTCACGGTCTTGGCTGGTCTCGCCCTGGCCACCGCCGTCTTCTACGCTTCTAGGTAAAATACCAGAAAGGGGGGATTTTTTATTTTTATTTTTTAAAATTTTTCGATGGAAGTTTGAGCATTGAAACCCTAGAAATCTGTAGATTAGATAGATATTTTTGAGTAGAGTGAGAAACAGGGATAATAGGAGTAGATGAAATCTCTAAAACGGAGTCAGACTTCGACTTCGAATTCCTCCTCGCCGTCTTCATCTTCGTCGTCATCGTCATCGACGTCGTGGGTCCATTTGAGATCGGTTCTCTTCGTAGTAGCCTCTTCCTCACCGGCTTCCTGTTCTTCTTCTGATCGGTGAGTCTCTCAGCTCTCTCTACCCTCACTTTTAGTTCTCCATTTTCTGCACTAGTTTTGTTGGGGGGCTTTTGATTCATCTCAGGTTTTAGTAAAGTTCAGTGGTTTCACTTCAGATCTTAATCACAGATTCACAGACCCCATTATATTCTGCAATTTCCTTTTTTGTTTTGCCAGCTGCAAAAAGTTGGATTTTTCTTCAATCACATTTACTGAGCAATTCCTAATTTCCTATATTTCAGAGTCATTTCCTTGATAGTCTCTGCTGCTATTGATTCTCATCTCAATTTGTGATGCGAGTTTATTCTTTGTGTTAACCTTTTTATGTTTGATTTAATAGTCAATGTTGGGGCTGTATATGCTTGTATAGTTCTTGAAAGGATGTGCACCCACCTCTCATACACTATGATTATATGTCTGATGGTTGAATCTTTTCAACTGCGTTTTGAGTTCCTGTACTGTGATGGAACCCTTCACTGCTTCATTCAAGAATATCACTGATATGTGATTTGATCCAATTAAGATTCAATTGCGGGCCAAGTGCTCTTTTAGTATTTAATTTAAACTTTGGGTTCTGCAATGGTATTCCTAGTTCTGCTAGAAATTCAATAGACGGATAAAGTGATGTAAGGGTTGATAAATTCAGCAATTTTGGTGTTTTTGGGTTCTTCTCTGGTGGAAACTTCTTCATTGTTTTCAGTTTCTGTTCAAATATCTAAATGTGTTGATTGAATTGTGCGGATATTACTTGTTGCATCAAGCAGTTTTTGCAAGTTATTATTGGCTAGTATGATTGTGTTTATTCTCAGTTGTCAAATATATTTAATCACTGTTATCTTTCATTTCCTCCAGGGGTCATCTCAAATCACCATGGTCAAGGCGAAAAAGAAAACGCATCCTTTCACCCCAGCAGTGGAGAAGCTTTTTCACGCAAGATGGAAGGCTTAGAGCTGGTGGAGTTAAGTTTCTGAAGAAAGTCCGAAGTGGAGTAAGCCTTAGCAACCCTAAGACTTTTAGATCTTATGGTGATCAATGAAACTGGTTTTTGATGATGTTTTCCCGACTTTTGCTATGCAGGGTGTTGATCCCAGTATCAGGGCTGAAGTCTGGCCTTTCCTGCTTGGAGTGTGAGTTTCTTTTGAATTCTTGATAAACATATTTTCTTTCCTCTGATTTGAGAAAGTCCTGTGCCCGTCTTTTATTTACCTTTTGTTTCTATCCACCATTCTGCTGCATTCCTTTGTGTGTCCATCTAATTTTATGTATATACCCATGAACCTGAGTATTCATGATTTTTTTTTTTTCCTTTTGATTTCTATTTTCGATGTTTTTATTTATATCCTTTTTTATCTTCGAGGTAATTGCACCAGGGGAAGAGAGGAGTATATTCATCTTAAGTCCTCTTCCTGATTTGTTATATTGTGGACAAAACCATTTAAATATGTGTTTAAGAACTGTTTCATATATGAGGCATGAAGTTATTGAAGTCATGAACCACCAAAATCTTTGTCTGCCCCTAGTGGGCAACAGAGGATGGTCTTTTAGTGCTGAAGCACGTGTGAATGCCTCATTACTTAACCTTCTAATTCTGTCATTGACAATTGGAATGAACTTAAATGGTTTATTTCTTAATTTCTCCTCTTCAAATTTAATGATCTACCTACCGTTAGTAATTGTGCTGCAGTTGTTGCTTAATTGTCTCTTCTTGATTATTGCTACATAAAATTTAACGGTATTGATGCGATTGACAACCTCTAATGTCCTCGAGTTTGTTTCTTTGGCAGCTATGACTTGAACAGTTCCAAAGAAGAAAGAGATACCGTGAGGAATCAGAAAAGGTACTATTCCAGACTCCATACTGCTTGCTCCCTTGCCCAAAAAGAATAGTGAAACAAAAAATGGAAAGTATTGTTTTTTTTTTATTATTATTTATTTTTAAATTTAATTTACATACGTCTGCCAAGCACCTTGTGCACAGATGGCACCCAGGTTGGACTCCCATATGGGAGGTTGTGAATTCGAGCCTCAGTGGAGGCATTATTGGCTCTTTGGGTTTCAGTAGGTTGAGAAAGTAGTTATGAACAGATACTACATTGTAATAGAGTCAGTAGCCATTCAAAAAAAAAAATTTTAAATTTACATACGTCTTGGTTTGTCATTGAATACAGAAAGGAATATGAGAAGCTGCGTAGGCATTGCCGCCGGCTATTGAAATGCACGGATGAGACTTATAAATTGAGGGGGACTAGTGGAACCGGTGATGGAAACAGTGAAATTCTCACTGAAGGGATGGAGTCTCCAGACTCTGAAGATGCTGTTAGTGCCCGGGAATCCCTTTCTAGTGGGGAAAGAAGCCCGTATAACGATTATTCAGACAATCCTGCTGATGTATTGTTTGATAGAGTTGCTATTTCGAGACGAATCACAGAGCCGAACTATGTCTCTGACTACGAATCATCGGACTCCGACTCCTCTTCTGATCCTGAAGCAAGTCTAACTTTGCCATCCATGGAAAGCATGGAGGAAAATACTACTGAGATGCCCTCTAGGGAGGACACTTCCCCTTCAACGGAGGTCCAGTCACAACTCCGTAATTCAGAAGATTTTGCCACATGGCAACGTATCATTCGCCTTGATGCAATTCGTTCTAATGGAGAGTGGATGACATATTCATCCACTCAGGGTGCCACGGTAACAGATGATAGGGCACGCCGTTGTGCAGAAGCTGTTGGTCTGAAGGACTACGATCACCTGGATCCTAGCAGAATCTTCCATGCCGCTCGCTTAGTAGCCATTCTCGAAGCCTATGCACTTTATGACCCCGAAATCGGGTACTGCCAGGGTATGAGTGATTTACTTTCTCCAATAATCAGTGTTATAACGGAGGACTTTGAAGCTTTCTGGTGCTTTGTTGGTTTCATGAAGAAGGCTCGACACAACTTCAGGCTCGACGAGGTGGGAATCCGGAGGCAACTCAACATTGTTTCTAAAATCATTAAATCCAAGGATTCACATCTTTACAGACACTTGGAGAAGCTCCAGGCAGAGGACTGTTTTTTTGTGTATAGGATGGTGATAGTACTCTTCAGGCGAGAATTGACATTCGACCAAACGCTTTGCTTGTGGGAGGTGATGTGGGCAGACCAGGCCGCGATTAGGGCCGGGATTGGTAAATCTGCTTGGAGCAGGATCAGATTGAGGGCCCCACCAACCGAGGATCTGTTGCTTTATGCAATTGCAGCATCTGTTCTGCAAAGGAGGAAGCAAATCATAGAGAAATATAGTAGCATGGATGAAATTTTGAGGGAGTGCAATAACATGGCAGGTCATCTTGATGTATGGAAGCTTCTGGATGATGCCCATGACCTGGTGGTCACCCTCCATGACAAGATATAGCCACCCAATTCTCCGGTGGCCGCCTGCCACCGCCTCTCCTCTCCGGTGGGCTTCCGATACTCTCTTCTTCTAGGCTGCCACCCCCTCTCCGGTGGGGTTCCAATACTTTCTTCTTCTTCTTCCCTAACTAATTTTCATTGCTTAACTAGTTTGTTGCTGTTTCTTGGAATTTTCTTGATTTTCTGCTGAAGCATTGCTGTAATGGAGTCTGTTTATGTTAATGGTCTCCTGAAGCCTGTGTACCTTTAGATTCATCGGACATTCCTTCAAGAACATCTTATCTTAGGGAATTACAAAAAGCACATCCTACATCATATTTTACCAGTGCAACCATAAACAAATGGTTTTTATATTTTCTTCTTTGTGTTAATCTGTTGTTTGTTGTGATACCATTATGTGTCTGTCTTCAGTCTTCTGGTAAAAATTATTATTTAAATATATTATATTATTGAGATAATAAATTAAATCATCATTTTTATATTTTTGAATGCATTGCAAAATACCCTTTTAACCTATTTAAATCAATAAAAAATGTTTGTGTCGATTGTTATTGTTATTGATCAATCAATCATGTGTTTTACATGTTATATTGTACATGATAGAATGAGACTAGATCCATTTTTTTAGGTGTTGACACTTGACTACTATATACTACTCCGTATATTGAGTAAACGTTCATATGCAATAGACTATTATTTGTATGTAATAATCTACAAATTACAACTGCACTAGATAAATCATATTTCTAAATTACACTAGATAAACTACGTTTGTGTCATAACTCAAATCTTATTCTTAACCTGTTCATGTGCAATAACTCACAAATTACAACTCAAATCTTATTCTTAACCTGTTCATGTGCAATAACTCACAAATTACAACCGTGATAGGATAGACAAATAATTATCTATTAAAATTAGTGTTGTATAGGTAGCCACCTAGGCACCCCTATGTTGAGGTAATATTAGCCCTAGGTGGCTTTTAATCCGCGACTAATTGGCTTACTAGGCGCCAAGTCAACGTTCAACTTAACCGAGTAATTTTTTTGCCTACTCGATTACTTCTCTTGTATATTTCTCCGGCCACGTACTCAACTAACCATCTAATTTATGCAATTGATTAGTTTGGAAGATTATAATAATATAACAACTTCTAGGCCTAAATAAAAAAAAAAAGTAAAAACGATATACTCAAATTACCCTTAGTGCTAAGCACCACAGGTGCCCGACTAGCGCCTCCTGCACTGCAACATTGATTAGAACAAATATCTGTTTCTAACATGCATTACTCTTCAAATTTCAAATATAAGTAAAACACAGTAAAATGTCATATATTAAAAATACACAGAATGGCCGAACTCCAAACACATGACTAGACCAAAACATGGGAAGAAATCCACATTAAACTTTGATAAATTAATGACTGCACTACTGCAGCGACCTGAACATGCAACTGTGAGAGGTTGAGAGTAAACTACTTCTCCTTGGTGTAGTGTCGGACCGCAAACGCCAATCCCAGTATCAAGAGGGGTACGAGGAACTGCAAGATCTTGATCACGAATTCTGGGGTCTTGTCGGGATTGTATGGAGCTTGTGGTGGTGGGACGTAAGTGCGCTTCAATGGAACTGTAGCCTTGTCTATCACCCCAATGAAGTACTTGTCCATCATTTCTCTAGCGGCATCGCTGTGGCCAACATCCTCGAAATCATTGGTGGCATCCTTCCCTGTTCATCAGAGACCAAACTTAGAACCCGCTTCCACCATTACAGAACATTAATGGAAGGATTAAGAATCACAAGATTACCGGTTGCTGAAAGCAAAACCTCATCGCCTCCTGGATGATCTTCCATGAACGGAGTTACATCATAAACCTAAATAAAAACGTTTGAAGTTATATAACCTAACAAAACTATTGGAGAAAGAGGAAAACTCGATGAATATTAACAGCCAAGACACAAGGCGCTCAAGGCGAGAACTCCACACTCCACATCTTAGCAAGGTCCGTTTCAGGTGTGAACCATTGCTATCATGTGAACCTGTGAACCTCCACGCACTGTTGAGATGTGAGATTGGACGACCAAAATCATTACCATGTCAAAATCATTATAAACCACAAGATCGAGCAAGATCAACAGTGCATAACGGTTCACAGGTTCAGATGATAGCATTAGTTCACATTTGAAACTAAACCTATCTTAGCTACCTATAACAAATTAATATAGAGAAGTGAAATTGGAATCCACGAACCATGTCCACAGTTCAAAGAACATCAGCTATTGGGTGAAACCATGCTTAGTTTCAAAACATCATTAAGACTTCAGAAGTAGCATAGTGAAGTAGGAATTAAGTACAAGATTTTAGCTTTCTAATGTGGCTTTGTTAAATTATAACAAGAGAAAATATTTAATGTGCCATCAATGTATAGTCTATAGATGCTATTAAACATTAAATATTTTTCTCTAACAGTAATTGCCTCCTCCTAATAGGGGAGACCATAGGAGAAAATAGGGGAAATCATGCAAATTCAATACATCAGATCCCTTAGAATCATTTTAATATGTACTAGTAGAGTAGAAATTTACTGAAAAACCATTTTTAAACTCAACAACACCTATCTTCCCTTGCTTCACAAAGAAAATCATCAAAATTTTCTACTTCAACTTGAAAATAAAATTTTAAAAAGTTACATGGATATCTATCAAACACCATGAGCTCAGAAGGGTTGAAGCTCAACAAGGCAACAATCATTAGTAAACAAAGTAAGAATCCAATGAAAAGGATCAAAACTTTACAGCCACAGAACATAAAGAATGCCCATCTTTATTGAAATTGGGAAAAATACTCAAAATTCCATCTGAAATCTGTCTAATAAACCTCAAAAACTTGTGAATCAATCCCTGATTCATCTTCAGGCGCAATTACACACTGAAAAAAAAAAAGGGGTGAATAAAGATCTAACCTTTCCATCGATGATTAGCCAGCAATCCTTAGTCTTGTTGTGCTGGGCGACTTCCTCAAAGACATGCACTTTCTGATCCGAACCCATTTCCTATCAAAACCAACCGGAGAAATTGAGGGGAAAAACGTTCAGAACTTTGCACACAAAACACCGGCGAATCAAAATCAAATATACTCGCGATTCAGAGTCAAACAAGAACACGAATCTCTAACTACTGAGAAGGATGATAGATACTCACGAAATGGATTGTTCGAGAAAGTCAATGAAGAGACTGAAGCTTTTTCCTCCGCGGTTCGACCGCTCTCTCTTGAGTACTGGGAGTTGATGAGAGTGTGCCGACCCGATGCATAGCTGTTTATTTATAAGTAAATTTCACTTACCATTTTAGATTCCTTTTTTTTTTTTTAATTTTCAATTTTGGTGTACTGTAGTACTGCCATGACTCATATTTATTTAGAGAAAAAAAAAATGAAGCTATATATATATATATATATATATATATATATATATATATATATTTATAACTTAAATTGAATCCAAATTATTTATTTGTTTTGTTTGAAGATACAATTGGTCTTCCTCGTTTGTGAATGGTTTTTCACCTAATTTGATGTCATAACTGAAGGCGGCAATATAGATGTTCGAATCTACTGAAAACATTAATGAGAAAAATGCCCAGATTGATGAAAGATATGAATTATATCCCTTGTGCGTGCATGAAGACTAAGGCCTGACGTGTGAGCTGATTGCGCGACTCGTAATTTACCTCTATAATGACTCTAGGAGTGGGTCTTGTGAGCTTAGCATTAATCCGTCAAAGCTGTATAAAAAATTTACAACAAGAAGAGAAAATTACAAAATCTATGAAAATTAAAAATAAATTATACACAAGCAATTAAGAATTAAAATTTGTTTCTTGCCAACCACTATATATCGCACATGTACCTATTGATTATCGCCATAATATATCTTCATCTTACTTCTCCCAATCACTTTATCATTAAATTTATAATTGTTTCTTTTTTGCATTGTTCATGTTTTGAATGTTTGTACACTAATCCCACGACAAAATCGTTTCAAACTCTCTGATACAACCCTGAGGTTGTATGGGTTGCTCTTCTTTGAGTCAAGAGCTAAACTTCATGGTTGTGCTTCGAATGACAGCCGAACTCCATTGACTATACTTCGAGCGATAGTCTAACTCCCAAAATGTCTCCAGACATTCATAAATATATTCTTCATTCATATTTTCCAAATACACATATAACTATATATATATATATATACAGGATCATAGAAACCATCCACTACCCCTGTATCCCACTACTTATAACTACCCATTATTCCACTATAAACTAAACCACCACCATTAATAATAATAATAATAATAATAATAATAATATTGCAGCTGGTTGTATCATTTCCATGCCCGTCAAAATCACCTTGTCCTCAAGGTGATGGTACACAATGGTTGATTGTATCATTGCCATGCCCATCAAAGTCACCTTGTCCTCAAGGTGATAATTAATTAGAAATAGCTCCAAAAGCTTGAATAACTCTGCTTCAGTACCCAACGTGATGTACGTAAATTATGGCCACCTAGCTTCAATTCCTCCATTTTATGTTCATGTTGCCTTGCAAGAATCGACCGAAGTTGTAGCAAAACATGCTTTGCTAGGTACTCCAATGTAATTGTGGGATATGCAAGAGAGCACGAGTGATACTGTATTGGTGTGGGATATGCAAGAGAGCACGAGTGATACTGTATTGGTGTGGAAACTGTATGGAACTTGATATCTTCTTGAAGCTGCTATGCAAATCCACGACTCAACAAGTGTTACTCTGTTTATGGTTTTTCTTTCTTTTTTTTTTTTTTTTTTTTTTTCGCAAGCCTGAAAATAATTTTTCCAGGTTGATACTCTCAACAAGAGCATCAATTGATACAACCCTGAGGTTGTATGGGTTGCTCTTCTTTGAGTCAAGAGCCAAACTCCATGGCTGTGCTTCGAGTGACAGCCGAACTCCATTGACTATACTTCGAGCGATAGTCTAACTCCCAAAATATCTCCAGACATTCATAAATATATTCTTCATTCATATTTTCCAAATACACATATAGCTATATATATATACAGGATCATAGAAACCATCCACTACCCCTGTATCCCACTACTTATAACTACCCATTATTCCACTATAAACTAAACCACCACCATTAATAATAATAATAATAATAATAATAATAATAATAATAATAATAATATTATTATTATTATTATTATTATTATTATTATTATTATTATTATTATTATTATTATTATTATTATTATTATTGCAGCTGGTTGTATCACTCTCCTTTTTTTGTTTAATTCTTAATAAAATTTGAAAGGACCTTAGTTTAGATTGATTTATCAATTGTGATGTACATTATGAATGTTTTGTATGATTTATTACATGTAGAATTTTTATTTTCTATTTTTGGTGATAATGAAAACTTGCAACCATTTTTTTTTTTTTTGAGTAAACTTGCAACCATTATTCAAGAATATATACTGAGTAAACTTTGCATTGTGAGCTTAAGTGGCAAAGAATTATAAATAAATAAAAAATATTTGGTGGACTCTCATTTTTTACTCTCGACTTTTACTCTCTTTCACAAGTTCTTCATGTAGACATTTTGCTTGGGACCCACAGGATGAAAATAGCATATTATTATTTATCATGGAGTAAAAGTGAAAAGGTATAATTTTCTTTTTTTGGTCAGACCATGAGGTGTCCTGAGTAGGCCGTAACTGTAAGAGACCAATAGTTATTTGTGGAACCATGTTCACCATGCGCATGGTGAACACGAGATAGATCCATAATTTCTAAGCGGTAGATCCATAATTTCTATATTGTTGATTCATAACATCTATAGTGTAGATTCATAATTTCTATACCGTACTGTAGATCTATAATTTCTAAGCTGTAGATCCATAATTTCTATACTGTAGATTCATAACATCTATAATGTAAATTCATAATTTCTATACCATACTGTAGATCTATAATTTATATACTGTAGATTCATAATTTCTATACCGTATTGTAGATCCATAATTTATATATTGTAAATTCATAATTTATATACCGTATTGTAGATCCATAATTTATATACTTCATAATTTCTATACTGTAGATTATGATTTCTACAGCATAGAAATTATGGATCTACCACTGTGTTCACCATGCGCATGATGAACATGTTCCACAGCATAATTTGCGATAAGAAACATCTTTAAATACGTATTATACTCAGATTGATCCTCATTCATATCGGACCAGTTCAATTAAAGGGTAAAGTACTGATCAAATTGATTTTTCTCTACAAAGAGAGTTCAAACTACGGAACTCTTTTAAATAAATTGAGATTACATATACTATAACTCTAAAAAAAAATCAATTCGAACAATAAAGACCAATAAATTACTCCCATTAAAAATTCAACTAGAAACCTAACTTGTACTTGAAGTTGTTGGGTGGGAAATTGCCACTGAAATTGGGTTTGAAATCCAATCGAAATTTACGCCGCCGTACGTTACACGAGCTTCAGATTGATTGAAACTTCTACACGTGTTTGCACCACCAGCCACCATCTACCTTCCTTTTTTGTCCTTTCCCTCTGAAAATTTTTTTTTGTTAATTTTCTTATTTTGGACTCGATTTTTATACAAAATACGGAGTATATTTTATAATAAAAAAGAAATTATACGGAGTACTATTTTAAAATATGATTACAATTTTAATAATTTTGGCTAATAAGTCATAACACATGTAAAAAAAAAAAATCACATGAAGGCCGACTTCATGCCGTCATAAACAAAGTTATAAACACAAAAATAAATTCTCCATTTAAGCAAAGTTTGGACCACATGCCCCTCCACGTTTAATTATTATTATTTTGTGTGATTATATTAGAAACCCATAACCGCTATTCGACGATTCGATATATAATGTGTCGAGTAAACTTTACAGTTATGTAATAGTCTTATGTAGAACCTTACAAGAATTATGTTCTACATACTCGTTGTTTATCCATATTCAAATCATAGCATTTGTTGGCAAGTGGGAAAAAAAACTAAAAAGGCACACAAACTCATTTATGATGTACAAAATAAACATTTTTACACATTATAACTAAAAATTTAAGAATTTTGTTATTTATTATCTAAATATAAGAATTTTAAAAAAAAAATTAATGTTGAAATTATTATATGTTTTTTTGTCCTTTTTGCATACACCATATATTTACTACGGTGGAACTAATTTAGACTTGATCAGACCTTTTTAAAAAGGTGAGGAACTAATGTTGAACTTTCAACCCTACAATTGCATTTACGGTATGCTTACTAATTGTCCCAAAGTATTAGATTAAAGTTAAAAAATTTGTTAATAGCCATCTGATTTATATGACGAGTGAGCTAAATGTTGAGGTGTAAAATTTTAAATAAATTGTAAATTTATATACTAGTTAATTGGCTCAAGCTGAGGTTGGTCAAAGATTGTCTTAAATATCATAGTATATTCCAATATAATTGACATGAAATTTTAAAAGTTGATATTAAATTATAAATTAAAGTTCTAAAATTTTAAATATTATTATCACATAATATTTATATATAAAAAAAGCATTTTTCTCAAATAAGTCTTAAAATACACAGATATAAAAGGAGTCAATTCCAGGACTCTTTGTTTAGTCCATAGATTTCTTCAGCCCACAGCATCATGGGTTAAACAATTAGTCAAATATTAAAATCATTTTACTCACCATTTGCAAATAAAAATATTCTTTTTACCTACCATAATTTTATTTTATTTTATTTTTTGCTGGAATTTTAGTTGGATTATTATATTTAGAATAGTTCTCCAAACAAGCGAGCTCATTAGAGAAATTTTTATTTTTTAATTAAAAAAAAAAGTAAAAAGAAAACATGTTAATTGCACAATTTTTCATTTTTGAAATTGAAAATGTACCATCCAGTATAGTTTCACTTAACAAATAAAATAATTTAATTTACTATATATCAATTTTTTTATTTTTTATTTTTAATAACGAGAGGGAAATCCACAGTCACTACACGAGATGTGCACTGGGTAAATGTCGTTCATATATAATAGCTTGCAAATTATACATAAAAAGTAAATCGCATTAAGAAGATCATATGCGACAAGTTTGATTGAGAGGGTGTTGATAAAAATTCATAAAAAAGGGTTCTTCTAAATTACTTGTCTTTAATTACTTTGGCTATGATGGTCATAACATACATAACTTTTTTTTTAGTAGAGATACTT